AAATTATGAGCTATGAATTCATTGAAAGTGTAAAGCTCGCCTTTTCACGATGGTGAATTTATCAAGTCCTTCTCACTAGGATAGATAATAATGTACACTATGAGTATTTCCATGACTTCGTTTGACCACATTGAACTTAGAGGACTAAGTTGGGTGTCCTCCATGAATTCCTCAACCAAATGGATTTAAGATCTATCCCCCTCGACAAATCATGAATCACTTTTCATATTAATTCTTAAGTTAAGAGATCAATATAAATTTTCTTCAATCCTCGTGTACCTCAATGTATTATCATTTTATTTTATGGACTTATGTCTTATCTTTTTATTGTATGCTTGGTTTTTTAAACCACTTATATGAGTCACGTAACCATATAGGATAAATATTTTTCTCTCTTTAAGAATTTTCAACAAGATAGATTCTTTAGGCATTCAACCTCTTTCCTAGATAAGTATTAACTTAGCATCTTACACTTCACATTAGAGCTATTAAAATAAATTTTTACAAAAGTTACTCTACCTAAGATAAACACATAACCACTAAAATAAGTTTATTGATGCATCATCAAATACACAATCATAATATCCTTTTAAGACTCTAGGATATGTTTCGATAAATTGTAATCACTAAGTCATTATAAACGCTAAGTTCTCAAGAAAATACTTAAAATTTCTTTCTGTATCTAGATTGTGGGTATGTTATAGATGCCAGATCAAGTATAAAAACTCTTCAAATAATTAGCATTTAAACATTATTTCCATTAACTCTACCAATTTTATGCTAAGAGAATTATTTCAAGAATCATCTTAATACTAAAGTTTTTCTATGTAAAAAGACTTATACTCGAATAATATCTTTTTTTATCAGTTTTAATAAACTTTAACACTAGGATTCCACATATATCATCTAAGATTTTTAAACTATGAGAAAAATTCTCTAAGTTTCATGCAATTTAAAGAGTCATTCTCATACAAATAAATTTATATGTTTTGCAACACAAAACATAAAATCATATATTCGTTTTAGAAATCTGCATTCTATATCATTCATAGGGTAGATAACTATTTTTAGTTACCCCACATTCTCTAACCTTATGGTGTCTAAATCAATAATATCATATTAATCAAATATTGACTTTAAAGAGATCATTTACAACTCAACTACTATGACTGAAAATCTTATCTTAATAAGATTATCACGGTTCTCTTTTTTAACTTCTTCTCTAAGTTACAAAGTGTGTGTATTTGTCATAGTATTTTATAATAAAAAAATAGTAAGCATAAAACCTAATAGTGCACTTGGTAGGTCTCTGAAAAAAGAGAGGTGGTGCACTAGGCACGCTTAAATACCGAGTCTTTTCCAAAACCAATCCTAGACATGCACTCTCATTCCGTCACACTATTTTTTAATTAACCATCTATAAGTTTTCTCACTTTTATTATAAAAGTTTCAAATATTATGGACAAAAGTGTTATCTCTTCTACATAGAACTAACATACGTGTCTTTGTAAAATAAAATCATGTGATATTAAACATGAATATAAAGGCAATAAATCTAAATAATCTGATCTCGTAGGTTGAAATGTAATAACCGAGTAGATTTATTTGTTTTCAACATGCCTTTAATTCGAGTCCTCTCATCATCATCCTTAGATTGAAGCAATCATCCATTCAAAAACCTCGAAATCATAGTCTTAAAGTTGTTTTTTAGGTTTTTAAGCCCCATGTATGATCTTCACATGATTCGTCCCCTAGAAATCACAAAACAAAGATTCATAGCTTTAATCAATCAATTGTGGAGGGACGAAAACATTGAATTTATCATGCAAAATTTAAAAGGAAAAAAGTTGTAAATAAAGGACTAAAATAAATGACCTTTAAATATAGATGGCATGAGCAAAATATTCCATTCTCTTAAAAAGCACGTGAATCTTAATAGACGAATCGCAAGTAGAGTCCAATATTAAATCAAGTCGATCAATAAATAAACAGATAAAACTACAAGAAAATAACTAACTTTATATTGCGCTTCCATCATTCAAGGCCATCGCATGAAACACTAAAGTAAAAAATAAAGAATCTAAAATCCAAAAATCACCAAATCCATTCTAAGAATTAGCAATCAATCCCTCAAATAACGTCCTTATCATAGGCCCACATTTTTTTAATTTAGGATAAAAAAAATTCTCTTGCAACGTTTACTGTCACCAACATCAATATCTATTAGGCCAACAAATAACAATAATGATGATAATATATAATAAAGTAATGATAATGGCGCCATTAACTTATCCCCAAATTAGCCCAATAAACCAATATCATTATTCAGATATAAGTCAATTTAATAATAATAAAATAAAATAAAGGACCGTAAATGTATGATGTCTCTTTATTAGTATAAAAATTAAAAAAATAAGGTAATATCATCAATCCAACTAATTGAAAACTTCTCTTCGATGCATGTCGAGATATTTCTTTCATACATATATGGATCACAATCCGACTTATAGCTATGCATAGATAAGAAGAACATGAAATGCGTCGGTGTTCATGTAGAGAAGTTCTAAAATTATATTATAAATATATAAAATATATTTTAGTCTAATACTAAAAAAGTGGAGTATAATGAATTTTTACCATTGAATTCTCTATCATAATCTCACAAATTTAGGAAGCCACCTAATACTAAGAGAAAGAAAATATTATTTTTGGTGGAGACGGTATGCCTAGGTCAGCATGGTTTTAGAGGTTACTAACCAACTCACAAATATTATGAAAATAATAAACCAATCAATTTGAAATTTCACAATAGCAATTCATTAATTCACGTACCTTCTATTATTTTTATTTAATTATTTGAATTATCTAAGAAAAAGTAGCCTTCTCCCTGGCGAAACCCCTACGGAAAATAAAAAGGGAGAAGATAGGATTCTGTTTAGTTGGGGTTTATTAGGATTAGATTATGGGATTAGGGTGGAAACTAGAAAGAAATATGACGAGGATACTAAAGTAGATGCACGTGCAGTGGTGTGGCGTGCATGCCAAGGCACAAACAACACAATAACTAATTGTTTTTTAAATGATTAATAATAAAATGGTTACTGTTTAGTTTAAAATCAAATTTTCAAAAAGTAAAAAAAAAAGAATTAAATATAGAAAATATTTTTACTAATTACATGTAAATAAGAAGTAATGATAGAATTTAGTTAGAATTAATTATAATTGCAAAAGGGATGAGTTATGAAAAATGGCAAGCTCAAGCTGTGCATAAAGTGATATGATATACATAATAATTTGCGTGTAAGGTGGACTTACATTTGCATGCTTCCATGATTAACTCTGGAAATTAAGGATTTCGTTTCTGCTTCTTTTCACACTTCATCCCTTTTTATAGAGCAATCAATTCTCTGCTGTTACATTGACACCCTAAAAATTACTAGCACCCCATCATTAAATTTTGCTTTGATTTTCATTTCTTTGAATATAAATCCAGTGCATCTTCATTAAGTTACGCGAGGTGAAATTTTTGTCGTTGTTGTTATCGTTGGATACATAAATTGTTTGAAGTTTTATTCTTTTCCTATTTGATTCAGTTTCAACTACTCTCCACCTACTATATGTTGAGCGGTATAAGACGTGTAGGATGGCCAATGAGGGATGTACAAATAAGAGCATAGATAACGCAAACGAGATAATGAGCCTACGTAATAACTTTTATCTAAATATAAAATTGACTAATTGTCACATGAAATTCTCCGTCTTACACCTCAGACAACGGTCTTATCAGCTAGTAGCTTTCACCGGAGATACGCCGTTAATTCTCATCAACAAATGCCGTATTATAATCAACTTAATTTTGAGATTATTTTAATGCCTCAATCCAATATGACAGGATATAATATTTGTCATCTAAAATCCAAAAAGAAATCCCTTCTATCCAATTCTGCGTGGAATTTAAAACCAAAGCAGCAGACGGGTTTGGCTGGTCTATCCCCATCTAGGCACCGACTCGGATGGACCGCTGGAGCCTTTAGCCACCTTTCTCAATTGCACACGTAGTTGGTTTTAAGGAACCAAGTCTCTGTATTGTATTTTTTTTCTTTCTTTTTTGGGTAATATCCACGTGGTGGATCCAACGGGTGGAATTCGATGACACAAGGAAGCATATGCCCTTGATCGTGCCTCGAGTTTGGGTTTTTGGACCAAAAGAAAAAGTATATACATGCTACATTTCATGCCTTATATGATTCCGAATCCGATCTTGTTACGAGATTTGGGATCATTGTTTTAATTGCAAAATTCAAAGTTCTATTTTGACAATTTTTTATTCCTATCCATGCATTAATACTATAGCTTATGTTAATACCGAGGGTAGACGGTAGCTCACCGAAAATGGTCTGATCATGAGAAAGAAATTGATCTAATAACAAAACTAAGCCATGCAGTTGATTTCTTTCTCTTAGAAGTAAAAATGTTACTGACCATAATAGACTAATAGGATATGCCATCCAAATTGGTGAATTTAGGAAGACAACTTTGGGACACCTTTAATATCAAAGCTCAATTCAAGTTTTCATGCTTCTTTTGAAAATATAAAGGAAATCTGAACTTACCTTTTGTGATTAAATTTAAGTTTATGAAATTTATTAAAATATAAAAGAATAAACGAAGAGAAAGGCAGATTAATTTTGATCAAAGGTAAAAAAAAGGTTTTAAAGTTTCTTATAAGCGTATCCTCTCAAAAACAACAGTCCCCGAATGATCATTTCAAGAAATGCAGGTTTGCTTTGCAATACAAAATAGATTTCGTGATAAAACATGCAGGCAGGGCAAATGATGAAGTTGAAACCTTGGTTCTTCTATAATACCTGAAATCGGTACCTATGTTTGTCTTGGACGCAATTTTTAACCAGTTAATGACTATTTTCTTCGCTAACTTGAAACAGTACACCAAATTTCTAATAACAGGCTCAAATCAAAGTACAAATGATGCATTAGTATTTTGTAAGCTTCATATATTGCCACTTGATTGTCTCTTGCTGGTTACTACATCAACAGGCAGTATTGAATGCAAAGCTCAAAGGTTTGATGATGGCAAGAGAGACAGACATATAGGCCAATTCTTAAATTGTACAACTTACAGGGAGAAACATGAGGAAAACACAAGAAGTTTTAAATAAAGGCTATTTATGCAAACTAGTACAAAGGAACTGTCTGTAAATTTGAGATTTGTTCAAACCTTGTGTTTTCAGTGTGACTTCTGTCATCATGAAGAACTATCAACTTTTTGGTGCCAGATCTTCTTAACCAGGCCGTAACTACAGGACCTGTTGATTCGAATCTACCTAAGTTACACTTAGCAAGCTGAAAGGGTGCACCCATGCTAGTGAGGAGTGCTTCAACAGCTCGCCTTAGTGCACCCTCACCGACTCTTTTGCTATGTTTGCCCCAACCTGTTAAAATGCTGAAAAAGCATGGAAACAGACTTATTTTTTAAACAAATCGGTGCAAGGACCCTGTTAATGTGCCCATTAACTGCAAAACCACTTTGATTACCTTAATAGCTTTGGCAATTCATGACCTTCAAAAACAATAGTGTGTATGTTTAGCAACCAAGAATGCACCATTGCTCGAGCAGCGCCAGAGGACATAAGATGCAAATCTAAACAAGAACTAGACCATACACTCTCCCACACTTGCCGCCGTCTTCCTTCAAGCACAACCAGCTGAGCTCCCCGTTTCTGTAAGGTAACATTGTAGATATGTTAAACTATAGAAGGTCCTAAAATCATAAAAATATTAAGGGAAAAGCATCATAGTGGAATGCAACTGAGCTAGAAGTGCATCAAACTAGAGAAGCAACAGCGTTACAAAGAGCCAACCTGACCAAAGTGCCACAGCACGTCACTCAGAGCATTATAAAAGGCAGAAGCAGTTGAAGAGTCCATCGACTTCACTTCATCAAATAGGGATTGAGCTTGGACCCAAACATTCTCCCTATAGCCCATAAGAAGACCATAGGCAACACCATAGACCTGATTATCAAACAACCGGAGCCCTTCCAACAACATTGAAGCCTCCTCAAAGGAATCACACCGGCTACAGCCAAAGCAATAAATCACAATTATCATCCATATTTTTCAGATAAAAGATTATTTAATTAGTAAATAATGGAAAAGGGAAGATTCACAAATCACAAGTAAATTCCCACTATTTACAAATCAGATAAACCTGTAATATCAAGTAAATCTCGAAGCCTGTTATATTGCGTGCTTGATTTGTTCAACTGCAAGCGGATAACGAGTAAGCTAATGGAATGCAAATTAGAAGTTTTAGACAATGTCATTTTCCTTGAACAGCTAGAACATAGTTATCAATTTATCATAGTGCAATTATAAACCACCATTCCTGCATTAGGCAACCACAACTCTGGCTCTAGACTTTAAGAGACCAACTGGCCAACTGAAGATTACTGATTCATTGTTCAGAATTTTTTTGGCATGAGTACGAAAAAGATGAACCTTTACTTTCTAGTTTCAAGTCATTGAATTAGATAAATTTAAACATATAAATGAAATTTTCAAGACTGGGTGGACTTGGAAAGCAACAGGACTCTGAACTGTTGTGCCAACTGCCAAGTCCACATTTTTCATTGAACAATATATGTGAAGGAACAAATTAATTGGAAAGCACAGGAAAAAGCAAATTATAATACCTGCAGACATTTAAGATGGCTGAGAAGGTGACAACATTTGGTTTAATTTCCAACTCATGCATCTTCTGGAAAACTCCTAAGATGCACAAGATTTCCCACTTGCCACCACAATCTTTCTTTGCTTTACCTCCTTTCTCAGCAGCCAGCTGCCCAAAAATTTTTATGATCTGGTTACACTCTCTATTACCTGCCTTGCTTTGAATACATTGATCAATGACCAATGACGAAGAGTCAGCTACCAATTCACGGATCTCACCAGCATCAAATGCATGTTCTGAAGTTGCAGACCGACCAAAAGCATCAATGATAGAATTGTATGTAACAACATTAGGCCTAATCCCTTCATTTGTCATCTCATTGAGCAAGGATAAAGCAGATTCCACCAATCTATTCTTGCACAAAGCATCAATTAATGCACTGTAGAGTACAACATCAGCTTTCAATCCTGCCCCCTTAAACTCCCTAAAAACATACATAGCTTCCTCATACAAACCACCCTTCGAATATACATCAATCACTGTCGAGTAAGTCAATAAATTAGGTGACACCTTTTGTGCTTTCATCTCATCAAACAGTCCTCTAACTTCATCATACTTGCCTAGTTTCCCGTATCCATCCAACAGTGCATTGTATGTCACAACATCCTTCCGCATGCCTGAATCCTCCATCTCCCTGCAAATATCTAAAGCCTCCTCAAACCTACCAAGCTTTGCATAAATAGAAAGCAAAGTATTATATGAAACTCTATCCAAACCAATACCCAAAAATTTCATTTCATTAAACAAATTGAGTGCCTCATCAAATCTACCAGCCTTTGCATACCCATCGACCACAGTACTGTAAGTTACAACATTAGGCAAGATATTTTTTGCAGGCATTTCTGCCATAATCTCGAAAGCCAAATCCAATTGTCCACCTTTACAAACGGCATCCAACAGTGTATTATAAGTCAAAACATCTCGATTAATCCCTCTATTAACCATCTCACTAAACAAATTCCTAGCGGCCTCCCATAGACCCCCTCTGCTACAAACTGCAAGCAAGGAATTAAAAGTGATTCGATCCGGCTGCACTCCACTTCTTAACATCTCATCAAATAGCTCCACAACCCTTTTAAAATCCACACCTCCTTTCGCACAAGCATCAATCACAGCATTATAAGTAACTAAGTTTGGCCTCAACCCATGGTTTTTCATGGAATCGAAAACCTTTATGGCCTCATCACAATACCCGCTTCTCCCAAAAGCACTAATTAAAGCAGAAAAAGCATAAACTGTATTTCCATAACCCTCACTTATCGCAGTCCGGAAAATTCCCTTGGCAAGTTCAATTTTTCCTAATCTACCCAGAATACTAATCATCGCAGTAGCTAATTTTCCTTGTTCAGTTTTTCTTCTCTCCCTTCTAACCGCAAAGTTAAAACATTTAAGGGCTTTTTCATACTCACTTATGTTTCCAAGCTCTCGAAGCAAGAAAGTGTAGTCATCAGAGCTACAAAGCTTAGATTCAAAGGAATGGAGAATGCTTTCAAGGCCAGCTAGGCCGTTGTGTAAGGCGAGTTGAAGGACCTCTTCAGCTACAGAGGTGCGTCGGGTGTTGATGGTAGTTTTGGGGCGGCCCAAATGCGTCTTTGAAACAAAACGAGTCGACCGGCGGCCAGAGAAATCGGGGTCGAGGGAAGGAAAAGGGAGGGGAGCACAGGTGGCGGAGGCAGTGCTGGTGTGTTTCGCAGCATTGCAAGGTGGGTGAGGGCTATTCGAGAGTGAAAACTTCTGGGGATGAGAATGATTCCGTTGGTTTTTTATTTGATTTTTTGGGTATTGCTGGGTGTGGTAGGACTTTGTTGTAGCTGTGATTGAATAGTGCGGTGGCGTTGACGCCATTCAATGATTTATCGCTTTCAAAAGAGAATAGCTACGAGGGTTTACTAGGGTTTGGGAAGACGAATTCAGGATAGCGGAGGATAAAGTGGGGTGTCTTCCCTTTTGCAGTATAAGTAGCTGAGTTGAGACATTGATAACTACGCCCACTCGTGTCAGCACTGTTTTGGTGCCACTCCAGGCTCGTTTTGTTTCGAGCAACTATTTATGGCCAAAAGTTCCTTCTGAACATGTATTCTGGATTTAGTGGGTCCATCTGCTGATGTGTCAAAATCTGAGCTAACTTTGACTCATCTCCACCACATCTGAATTGGTTGGGTTAGGTTAGGCTACAGCCAACGATTTGCATTGAATCCAGCTAACAAGTCCAGAGGATTAAGTGGAGTGGGGAGCACGCTGAGCCAAAAATTAATTGAACGCGCCTGGCATCCCAAAATTAAATTCAATGTAAATCTCTATATACGCAGATATTTTTACGTAGGGGTGTATTTGTAGGGATTACTTTCTATTATATATGTGTATATGAAGACTGCATATGAAGATTGTCTAACTACGTATTTTATTTATTTATTTAAACATGCATTGTATTTTATATTTATTTTTAATTTTTTGACTGCCGGAGGTCTTCCACGGAAGCTGCTCTTAATCTGACGTTGGGGGACAACCTACTATCCTATCTCTCCCTTACCCCATTACATATGAAAATAAGGTTTTGTTGTTGTTGTTATTATTTTATTCTTGGCTTAAATTAATGTCTTTTCAAGTTTTTTCCTTTTAAATTTGGGGTAAATTTCGAGTTTAATAGTTAAAATATTAATTTTGATCCGTATTAGCATCTAAACTTTCAATTATTTCAAAATCATATTTAATATTTAGTTTTTATTTTATTTTAGTATTTGAGAACTTTTTCACGTGATATTTTTGTTTAAATTGCATCATTTTTCATTTAATTATCTTCTCACTCATATTTCGGTCATTAAAGTTTAAAAAATTTCAATTTAATTACCATGTTTTAATCACTCAAACTTATTTCATTAATAATATTTTGTTACATGGTATTTTATTATTATATTAATATGTAATTAAAATAAAAAATTAAATTTGAAAGTTAAAGTGATCAAATTAGGAGTAATTTGAAATTTAAGTAATTAAATTAAACAAAATAAACTTCAATGACTAATATAAGAGAGAGAATATAATTGAGTGATTAATGATATAATTTACCCATAAAAGATACCAACTTGCAACAATTTCATAATCTTCAAGCGGGAGTACTAAAATAAAATATAAATTAAAAATTCAAGTACTAGATCGAAACTTTAAATTTAAATATTAAACAAATAAGTTATCTTTAAATTGAGGTAAAAATAAGTAAAGACCCTTTAATTATAAAGATATTTTTATTAAATCTTTTAATTAAAATAATTATTCAATTTTAAAATATAATAAAATTTAATATTTTTTGGTACATAAAAGTTTATATCATGGTGACTCTCTCAGTCTATGACATACTTAAGATTCAATTGAGATTTACAAATTGTCCATCAAGAGTGACGGTGATAAGATTCTAACTTGACCTTACAAACTCAAATTCTTGAATCTCAACCATCTGTGCCAAAATTCTTTGGCATAAATTAATTACTTTTAATTAAATTATTTAATATTTATACTAATTAATAAAATTAATGTTTAAATTTTATATTTTGTTTTAATTTAATCCTAATACTCGCTTGCTTTCCCTCGTATCCATGGAAGATTTTTACATTCCGAATACTAAATTATCGTGTAAAGAATGCTGGTTTTGTAGCTGCCAAACCAATTCCCGCGCTTTCGTCTTTTCCATCGTTATCTTTCATTCCCATTTGGGTATTTTTATCGGGCTTACTATTCAACATTAAATTTTGTCAGCGTCTCTAGTAGCTTTTCTTAAAACAATAGTATTAAATTATTGAATATTTAAAATATATTATTTAAAATATAATATTTTTATTTTAATATTATAGTTTTTAAATTTTAGTGATTATAATTAATTGGTAAATAATTATTTATATATATATTTATATATAAATATTTACTTTCGTTTTTTATTTCATTTTGTAGGTTACGCAAAGGGCCCAATTGAAATTTATAAAATGGCACGATAATAAAATATGAAATATAAATGGGTCAACCCAAAAATGACTCGAAGGCCCAAAAAAGTCATCATGCCCAAAATCGATAGCCCAATTGGGTAACCCAACAAATTAGAGTTTCCTGTCATCACCACAGCCACCAGTGATCCTAGCCGTTGAATTTAACCTTGATCCAACGACCCAGATGAGATATAGCCTTAGGGTTTTCATCATAACCCTAGGGTGGATAGTCGTAGCCGTCGAGTAGCATTGCTCACTGCCACGTCTACCGTCACCGTTACTGTTTACTGTCGTATCGTCTGACATCACTGACTCCTCTGATGCCACCATTTCAAAGCAGCCATCACCTGATCAATAAAAAAAATGGGAAAAGTCAAGAAAAATAATATTTTTTTATTAATTTTTTACATTCGAATAGAGATAAAGGATCCCATCCAAGATTATTAGTCACAAATAAGGCACTCAAACACTATTCTTTTCAGCAGCACATCAAACATCACATGCAACAGAGATTAAAGTATAAAATGAAGCAAGGAAAATGATTTCGAGGTTGGTTCGAGAATAAAAAAAGAGAGAGAATCATAAGAAATAAATAAAAAATAAGAGAGACTAGAAGAGATTCCCTATTCGCAATGGTGCTTCTTTCATCGAAGCTGAAGATTCAAAAAAACCGAAGATAAAAGGCTAGATTTAGGACAATTGGTTGTTTTTCCTTTAAAGAGAACCCTAGATCTAAAAATAAGAGGTTGGGTGGGTCATTTTGGGTTAATTGTTTCATATTCTAGCCACCGTGAGTGGCGGCCTGTAATACCCCCAAATGGTAGGTCGATGACAATTTTGAAAGAATTTAAAAAATTGAAGGTTTAAATTAATAAATGTTAAAGTATAAGGAATGTTTTGAGTAGGGCCAATTAGTAAGAAAAGGATAATTAAAAGGGTATTTTGGTTATTTGGAATGAAATAAAATTAAAAATTATTTTTTAAAAAAGATTAGGGATTTAAGAAAAAGGGGAAAGTTAAAATTTTAACTAACTTATTCCTCTTTTTCTTCCTCCCGTAGGTTGTGCTCTCCTCCATGGAAACAAGGTAAACTTTATTCAGCTAGTTCCTTCTGATTTTGGTTGGCTTTTGTAACATTAAGTGATATGTAAGCTTAAGGAAGGGTTAAAGAAGATTAAAACTAAGAGGTGGAAGTTTTATTTGAGATTTAGGGATATGTGTTTTTGAATGATATGTTGATATATTAGTTTTTATTGAGGTTTATTAATATATTTGACTTGTCAAGTGAGTGAATAAGAGATTAGAAGCATTGGATATGATTAAAAACATGTTAGAAAAAGTGGTAAGATTCTTGAGTTGAGATGTTCTTTGGAAATTTTAAAAGTTATAAGAGGTTAAATGAAGGAAAGTTAGTTGGGTTAAGTAAATAAGAGTTTAATAGAACCGTCGGAGGAAAAAGTAGGAGAATTAAGGGGGAAATTAGTAAAAATCGGGCTGAAAAATGGTAAATTTGAGTAGAGGTATCGGTACTGGAAAAACAGTACCGATACTATAGGATTAAATTATAAGAAATCAATTGAACAATATCGACACTGATTCAATCAATATCGATACTTAAGTGGGTATTGATACCATGAGGAAGATATCAATATCATTGATTTATAGAATGCATAAATGGTATCGATACCATAATAGAGTATCGGTACCATAATACAGAAGTATCGGTACTGAGAGGAAGGTATTGATACCATTGATTTATAGAATGTCGAAATAGTATTGATACTGAAAGAGAGTATCAGTACCATAATATAGAAGTATCGATACCATGGTATGAGTACCGATACTATTGAGCCTAGAAATTAAAGATAGGTTGAAATTTGTTATAGAAATCTAAATAATAGTACTTGTGAGTATTATTAAAGTATAAATGTTAGGGAATATACTAACATTTGATATGGTATGTGCCTTTAATAGATGTTTGTGTAGATCATAACCAAGGTCCTGAATCTAGCAAGATAAAGGGCAAAGATAAAGTTGTTGAGTAGCCAAACCTCATTACATTTTTAGCGAGGATTATCAGGTGAGTACATTTATTGTGTTTATTTGAGAGGAATAAGTTTTGAAATGAGTTCAATTATAAGGTTTCAATTTAATGTATGTTTATGGTATTTAATATATTTTGATGCATATAAATGGGATATTAAAGGCATGAAAGGATATCATAATTAAAATGCATAACGGTGCATTAAAGGCATGAAAGGATATCATAAATAAAATGCATAATGATGCATTAAAGGCATGAAAGGATGCCATAAATAAAATGCATAACAGTGCATTAAAGGCATGAAAGGATGCCATAAATAAAATGCATAACGGTGTATTAAAAACATGAAAGGATGCCATAAATGGAAATAATAAATAATTACTAAAGAATAATGGGAAAAATGTAAGTAAAGAAAGGTGTGTTGGACATACTCAGAATGTTGAGGATGATGGTATGAAAGAAATATGGTTTAGACAATTGGGACTTATCTAATCCTTATGGATGATACGAATTGTTTCATAAACAAAAAATCATGATATACTTATGTTTACATTAATGTTTCTTTATAATATTATGTCTCACTAAGTAAATATTTAACGTGCGTTGATTTCACGAGTAGGTGAAGGCAGAGAATAGACGAGTAAGGAGTACAGTAGTAGCAGCAGCTATCATCAATTAAGGTTGACTCGTCAGTAACAATAGGATAATCCGATTAATTTTGAAAAACTTAGTTGGCATGTAATTAACGTATGAAAAATGCTTTGAATTGTACTTAAGTAGAACCTTGTAACATATTCTAATTAATGTTTTGCGGTATATAAAACAAATGTCATGTTTTAAGAATTTTGGAAAAAAAAACTATAGGTTTTCAATTGAGGAACTATTTCAAAAGTGATGTGACAGCTGTATTTCGTGTACGAAAAGGTATACGGGAGATGTGTGTTACACGATGAACAACACATTCGAACGGCGGTACTCTCCTTCGGTGAGGGAAGAATCCCAGAGAATTTGTGGGTTATCTCTCTCTTAAAGCGGCTGAATCCAAATGGGAACTACAGTTCCCAGATGGCTCATAATAGAGTATATATGTGCCCAGCAAAATGGCGTCGTTACGCCATAACATGCTCCTGTTTTTTAGTTTTAAGGATGGAATTGTTGTTTAGGTCCCTCGGGCTTCGTATCATTCTGTCGTGGTCATGAAATGTAATGGCATATTTACGATTCTAAGTTTCAAATGTTTCCATGTTTACATTTTAGTCATCGCACATATTTAAACTTCATGGTTAAATATTCGATTTGGCTTTTTAATTTGATAATTGTTTCATTTTAATCCCTTTTGTTTTGTATGCATTCAAAATGGCTATATTTGCATCAAATCCTCCAAACTTTAGTCTTGTTCGTTTTTAGCCACTACACGAGATTGATTATAAAATGAAATATTATGGTAAAATGAGTCAATGACACATGTAGATTTCCACTATTTATAACTTAATCCTGTAAATCACTTTGTTTCATGTTGTGTATATTTTAATCTTGTTTAATTCATGTTTTTTATAAAATAAAATACTTGTTATTATATATATATATATGTGTGTGTGTGTGTGTGAATATTTTAGAAAATAAATAACACCATTATATATATATATTTATTTTGCTGAGAAATAACACCATTTGTTATTATTAATTTTATAAATACGAGGCGTTTATTAATTGTTCGACTAATCTAGGGAAGACCTCCAAATACTTGGACTGCCCTTCCAAGCAATTATTCGAATAAAATCATTCTGACATTATTAGTTACTATTTATTAGATTAATTAAAGGTATTTTAAATAATTATTTGCTAATTAGCATGTTATTTATTTCCCAAATATTTTAAATTATATGTTCAGTTTCTTTTGTTTTGAATAATTTGATTTTATTACCCAAAAGAAGGAAAAGAAACGTGCTACAATCAATACAAACTACCGAAAGCCATTAGGGCACCAAACCCCTGCTAGCAGCCTAGGTAACAACCATACCAAACATACAACAAAAATAAACAAAATAAGAAAGCAAGCAGCAAAATGCAAGAAAGAGCAAGCTCCCCATAAGCAACCGCCCATGGACCTGCACACATCTGCAAATGTAAAACCAAGAAGCCCTTAGCAAATCAGCAATCACCAACACTAGCCAATGCTCCAGTCCAGGCAAAGCTGAAGATTAACACTATCAACCTTGTTTATGCTATATCCTTGTAACCTAGCACCAACTGATCTCCTAATACTTTCAAATATATCATCAGCTATCCTAGAGCAGCCCCTGAAACACCTGAGGTTACGTTCTTTCCACACAAAGTATAAAAGGCAAATCCAAGCCAATTTCAAAATACAAATCAACAAGGATTTACCCCTGAAGTTAGCTACTACCCAAGCCAGAGAAGCACTCCAACACAATTCCCTGTGGGGTATTCTACAAGTTTGCAGGACCTTGCTCCAAATTCCCCTAGTAAAAACACAGTCATTGAAAAGATGGTCCCTGTCTTCAAGCCCAGCATTACAAAGAACACAACCTTCATCCAACTCTATTCCCATATTGTTGAGTCTGTCCTTAGCAGGGAGCCTATTCAAAACAGCCATCCAAGCAACAATTGACATTTTTGGGACATGTAAGGGGAACCAGATAAGGTGTTCCCATCTGACCTTTTCCCTCTTGTCTCTTAACTTCTCCCACACCCACTTACTTTTAACCATGTTCCAATCCACTATACTACCAAATAAGACAGCATCTTCATTCCTAAGCTTAAGCAGTTTTCTCAAAATCTGGCTAAACTGAGGTTTAGGACTGGCTTCCCAATAAGCAGTCCCCTTCAGAGCATATTCTTTGATCCAGGCCACCCAAAGTGACCCTGCATTTGCTAAGATGTTCCTAATCAGCAAGAAGCAACACACCTTATTCCAGCAGCCAAGAGTCTTCAAACCCAAACCAACCTCTGATTTTAACCAACACATTTGCAGCCAGCTCACTCTATCCCCCCTAGTAGGAATGTCACTACCCTTCCAAAAAAATCTCATACAAAGCTGCTCAACCTGCCTAATGACCTTATTTGGCAGAACCAACTGCCTACACCAGTAATTTGAAATACTAAAAAGGACAGATTGAATAAGCTACAACCTACCACCATAGCTCAGCTTCAATTTAGACCATATGCTCAATTTACTTCTAATCTTATCAATCAATGGAATGCAATCCTTGACTGCTAATTTTCTAGTGACTAAAGGAACCCCAAGATACCTAACAGGGAGTCTTCCCAATTTAAATCCAGTTACTGCCAGCATCCTACTTAAAATATCATTTTGCACCCCACAAGCAAACAATTCGGATTTACCAGCATTAAGCTGAAGACCATATAACTCATAGAAAACCTCCAAAACCCTAACAACACCCAAAATAGAACTCTCATCACCATGACAGAAAATAAGCAAGTCATTAGCAAAACTAAGGTGGGTGAGAGAGACACGTTTGCATTTAGGATGAAACCAGATTAGGCCATTACAAGCAACAACATTAAGCAAATGAGACATCACATTCATGACTAAAATAAAGAGATAAGGGGACAGAGGGTCCCCCTGTCTAACCCCCCTTCTCCTTTTAAAAAACCTCACTAAGCTCCCATTAAATGCCACAGAGAACCTTGCACCAGTGATACAAGCCCTGATCCAAACTCTAAATTCCTCAGGAAGCCCCAAGACAGCAAGAACTTTCAACAAACAATCCAAGCACACAGAATCAAAAGCCTTCCTAAGGTAAATTTTAAGAGCACGTCTAGGGGACATTGAGTTGCGAGAGTATCCCCTAACTATTTCCTGAGCTAATAGTGTATTATCAACTATGTTGCTCCCCTTAATAAATGCAGTCTGATTCGATAAAATCAAGTCTAGAAAGAAGCTAGCCAAACAATCAACAATGATGCTAGTAATGGTTTTATATACAACCGAGCAACAAGATATGGGACGAAAGTCCTTAGCCATACCTACATTAGGAGTCTTAGGCACTAGGACAATGGTTGTTGCATTGAAGGCAGACAACAGGACACCAGTCTGGAAAAACTCTCTAATGGCAGCCAAAAAATCAACTTGAATAATATCCCAAGCCACTTTGAAGAAGTATGCAGTATACCCATCAGGTCCAGGACTCTTCTCATTCCCTTGCTTAAACAAGGAAGCTTTGATTTCCTCATTAGAGATCTCCTTCACTAGGGAAGCAACAATAGCATAAGGAAGTTCATACCCCAACAAGCCCTTAAGAACATCCACATCACAACTTTTAATACAAGTGTCCTCCATGCCAAGTAACATAGTATAAAACCTCACCATCTCAGCATACATGGTCTCAAAAGTATCCAATCTAGAGCCATCCTCAGCATAAAGCAATCTGACAGTGTTTTTATGTCTCTTCCTCATCACAACAGAATAGAAGAACTTGGTATTCCTATTATTTTTTGTTTAGTTATTTCTTGTGTTATATATTTGTTTATGTCTGACTTTTATCTTTACTTTATATTTTTTTATTTATTTATTTTTATTTTATGTTACCATTTTATTCATTTGTTGCGATTAATAATTTTTTTTATATATTCTCTGTGTATATTGTTTTTTATGATTATATTCTTGTATTATGCATTTACTATTTAATCCTTTTGAAAATTTAAAGGCAATATTACCTTACTTCGTGGGTTAACGAAATTTCGTCCAACATAATTGGATTTCAATTTCTGTTAACTCACGTAATAAGGGAACATCATTCTTTAAATAATATCGAGTGAATTAAGCGATTTTATCGAGTCAAACATTTTCAAAGAATGAAATTCACTCCTTTTAAAAATTCATAGAAATATGAAGAATCGTAATTTAAATTTTGAATTGAGATGTGCAAAATTCCATCGTTTTAGACATCATATAATCAAATGTATTAATTTTTTGGCGTTGTAAGGGTGCTCACCCTTCCCCGCGGGTAACCGACCCCTTTGGTAAATGCATATCCATTTTTTTCTTAAAACATTTTTTAATTTGTTAAAAGATATTTTAGGTATTTGATCAGTCTAAGCCAAAAGGTTGATGACGGCTCCAAATTTTAAATTAATCTAGAAATCCAAGTTTGTTTACATAAAGTCGTAATTATTTTTAAATTTAATTTAATAATTATTTTAAATAAGGTCATGACACTACTGTTTTAGTAAGTAATTAATATAATTAACAATATATTATTATTATTTTAACAAATAATTAATATAATTTATAATAATTTTATTTTAATAAAATATATTAGTTTGAATCTTTTTATTAATTTATCTATAAATTGTAGATAATAATATTTACATAAATAATATTTAAAAATTATTCTAATATTTGGAAATAATATTATTATTTTATTCATAAATAATGTTATTTATTGTATTTGATGTTTATAATGTACTTTTTTTTTTAAAAAAATTATCAATTAATGAAAAATGAATTACACAACATTATCCAAATACCGAAAAATAATTTTCAGATAATATTTTAAAAAAATATAATTCATTTTACTAAATTTATTTTAAAAAATCTGTTCTGCAACGAACCCTTACTTTTGATATCTACGCTTTTATTTCCTTTCAGTTGCCTCGATCTTTAGCCCATTCCGAATACGAAATATCAATCCGCAATCATTCAATAAAATAGGCAGATTGGGCTTATCTTTAGCCCATGTCAGAATCCCATCGCTTCCGCTCATTGGTTCTTCAACCTCAAACTCTGACATAAAACAATGGACCTTAATATCATTATGAATTTAGTTTCAGAAACACTGCGAGTCTGAACATGTAGGGTACGGAGTTGTAGCACATGTATCCACTCTTCGACTCCAACAAATATCCACACTATAAACCATCACCAATAACAAAAGAAGCAGCCATGTTTTGACCTGTAAATTCAAATTGTTCCATACATGAAGTCTACCAAATATTAGAATAAACCAGTTTTGTCTTGCTTAATTATTGATCAATCAGTTAGATGCCCCACTTTGGCTGCGCCGCCTTAGAACTACGCAACTGCTTCATTCCCCAGTAGCCACAAAATCAAATGATCTTAAAAACTGAAAAAGAAAGAGGAAAGGCCCATGTCTATAGTTAGATTCTGCAGAGATTCTAGCCAAACTCAATAAAAAATAACTTTATTAATATTTCACTAACATGAGGATATCCAAGTCGTGCTCTTTCCACCAAATCCAACAGCAAAGTAGATTTCCCTCTTTCGGGGAGATTCACAAATTTGGTTTCAGGATAAGATTTTGTGAATTATTGTCAGCTTTGCAATTGGAAAATTGATTGTTTGCGGGATGGGCCCCCTACACCGAATATCAAACTCATTTATATACCGTAGCTGTCTGGCTGGTTTATTTTATTTTATTGCAAAGGTGAGTGGTGATTCATTCATGCATATTAAAAGAGTGTGAAGCAAGAAAGCAAGCAAGTTGCTGGGTTTTTTTTATGTCGTATTGCCTAACTCCTTTTTCATCTAAACTTCATTAAATTCTCAAACAGCTCTGCTCGTCTCTTTTAATCAATTTTGGTATAATAGAAGAGCAGGTTTACAAAACATAGCAGCGGCAAGTAAAGAAAGTGATGATGGAAGGTTCTGTCTCTCCAAAATTGGCTTCCAATGAATCAGAAACTCAGGCATCCAAAAGAAGGTTACTTTTATCTTTTCATTACAGTTTTGAAATGACATTTCCAAGTTTAGAAATGTTTGTTTGTTACCAGGAAGGTGGTGGAAAGGACTGTGGTTACGGTGAAGGTCGGGGAAAATGGTGGGAAGCTAAAGAACGAAGGTCCGCCTTCGGATTTGTGGTCGTGGAGGAAATATGGGCAAAAGCCTATCAAAGGATCTCCTTATCCCAGGTCTTCTTCTTCTTCAACCCATGTTCCTTCCCTTTGTGTACAAGCATTTTTAACTTTCTGATGTTTCTTATAAGCAGAGGGTATTACAAGTGTAGCACATCAAAAGGTTGTTCGGCCAAAAAGCAAGTAGACAGATGCAAAACAGATGCTTCCATGCTTATTATCACGTATACTTCTAGTCATAACCATCCAGGCCCTGCTCTCGACTCCACCGACACAAAACAGTCCCCGGAAGAACCCCAAAGCAACCGTAGTAGTGACGATGATAAGCCCCCAACCCCCAAGCAAGATCAGGTACCGGAAGCTCGACAAGTACAAAACGAGACCAGCAAAACTAACAGCGATGATGAGGCAAGTGAAGAACGTTTTCACTATTTACAAATCCCATCAAATGTTACCATTAGCCAAGAAGATTGTTTCACCGGGAATCTAGAGAAAACCCATGACTCGTTGCCACTGTGTTGCCCTCATATAGCGACATCCTCGACGCCAAAATCAGATGAAAACGATTTCTTTGATGAGAAGAACTATACCCATATCTTCAGCTTTCACAAGTTTCATGAGAAGCAAGGTTTTCGACCAAGGAATCTCTGTTGTCCCTTGTTGGCCTCTATGTATTTCTCGGTCTTAGAAGAATGTAATTGAAATGTTAATAATTGAAAGTGATTATTCTTTGATTCTAGTTTAGCATATTCTTTCCTTGTCCCCCTCTTTTTTTCGCTCGGGGATTCGTAAATTTGAAAGTTGGATCACTTGGGCACCGCGAAAGAAAATCAAAACAAAAATTCTTCTTTTTTGGCAAACGGAAGAATTATAGTACTAAACTTTTCAGCACGTTTATTTGCAGCAAAAAGGCAAAATTCATATTCCCTGTTTTTTTAACCAGATTACCATCATTATTCAATACTCAATGAGACACTTAAGTGGACAATCATTTCATTTCTACAGAGTATAGCCATGACATTTATACCAAAAATAGCTAAACACACATTACAAGCAACGGCTATTCATTAACATCAGATGTAAAAGGTAGTGGTTGAAGTGCTTTCAAAGGATTCATGATAACACCATCAATAAGTCCATATTCCTTCGCTTCTTTTGCGCTCAAGAAGAAATCACGGTCAGTATCCTGATTGATCTTCTCCAAACTTTGAACGGTGTGGTAAGCAAGATATCCGTTTAAATTTGCCTTATGATGCAGCATTTCATTTGCCTGAGAAATCATGCTTACCAGTCAGGGTATGTTACAACAACAGAACAGAGTTGAAGCTAATACTAAACAGTTTTCTTAAAGAAGTCAACTTTTGATATTTGGCCATGAAGGTATCCCATGCTGCACTATTTAAACTTTTCTATGTTAAAAAAACAAATGCACCGAAAATGCATTGGATTAATAGGCATCGAAAGTGGTGCAGTTTTTATTGATTTTTCGGTATGGGTAAAACCTCAAATTTAGTCATTGTAATTTAGGGTATTTATAAATTAGTCCTTAAGCTTCAACTATAAATACCCTACTCATTTAGCTTCAAAATCATCCCAAAGCATTCTAGCTTTCTTCCAATACTAGAGAGAATTTAGAGAGTTTCTTGAGAGTTGTTTTCTCCTTTTTATCAAGAGAGAATTATCATTGTTTTCTCCTTGGTAGATTGAGAGAAGTTGTAATTCCTAATTGCTTATAGTGAAATTCTTCTACCGTTGCCCGTGGTTTTTATCCTATATTATTTAGGGGATTTCCACGTAAATTTTGTGTCTCTTTTATCTTCATTTTTATTTTCTCAAATTATCAGTTGCGATTTTGCTATATCCGATAGCCGTCTTCCGCAACAATTGGTATCCGAGCCAGATTAGAGTGTGTAATATCTGCTTATTGTCTTTGTGGTTTCCACCAAAAGGTGGATCCTCCAACATAAGAAAGTAAGAAGTTATTACCCATTCTTTGAAAGTTCCAGAGAACTATTCACGATAGTGAAATAGTGGGAGCTATCCGTAAAAGAAGCTATGGCAACGAAATTTGATATTGAATTGGGAGAAATTTCTAATTGTGGAAATTGAAGATGAATGTCATCCTGAGGAAAGATGATTGTCTAACAGCTATCAGTGAAACGCCGGTGGATTTCACAGATGACAACAAATGGATCGAAATGGACGGGAATGTCATGACAAACTTTCATCTAGCATTAGCAGATGAAGTATTGTTAAGCATCGAGGAGAAGAAGACAACTAAGGAGATATGTGATCATCTCACCAAATTGTACGAGGCCACATCGTTGCAAAATAAAATTTTCCTTAAGAGGAAATTGTACACTCTCCGGATGCCAGAATCTACTTCAGTGACGGAGCACTTAAACACACTGAACACGTTATTTTCTCAGCTTAAATCCTTAAGATGTACAATAGGAGAACAAGAACGTGCTGAACTTCTACTTCAAAGTCTACCTGATTCTTATGATCAACTCATCATCAACTTGACAAATAGTAATGTCACCAGTCTAGTCTTCGATGACGTTGCAGCTGCTGTTCTACAAG